CAGCTTTAGCAACGTTGTCATCACTGCTAATGTCGATCAATCTTTACTTCACTTGAGTTTCCATTTTGTTTTGTGTCATTTTAAAGATGTCAATTAATACTGCAATAATCACGATAAGGATATAATGTTTCGTTTTACATTATTTGAAGCTGCTTGTTGAATGCTTCTTATGAATATATGTAAAGTATATATATATAAAAGTATATTTATAATATAATATATAATATAATATATTAAAATATTTACTTATGTTTCCCTTTTTCCGACAATCTTTGATAATTTTTCAAAATTAATAAAAAAATCTAAATTATCTTTCTTGATTTCAATTTCCTTCCAAATTTCTTGTAACTCGTATTCGTTTTGTTTCAGCGTATTTTTGTTTCACACTCCAATCTTTTTCAGAATTTAGGATGTTTCAGAAAATTTCTAATATTTTTCTGGTGCTCAGTAAGGTAAGCTGTAAACAATATTGAATTTTAAGATGAATATAAATATTCTTAGAGAAAGTTTTTGCAATAGAAAGTTAATATAGAACCTAGAAATTAAACAATTGTTGAATGTTTCCTTAGATTTTCCTTAAATTCCCGGTTGTGTCTTTCTGATACTTTGTTTGTTTTATATATTTGATAAATCGAAAATGAATTAGGCTTAAAGCCATTTAGCCAGGTATTTTTATAATAATTAATAAATGGTTTCAAATTATTACAATCATTAAAAACATTGGATATTATTTGAAAATCTTTTTCAATTAATATTTTCTAGGCGCTAAAGATATTAATAATTTTGTTAAATTCCAATCTAATTCATTCTTATTTTTTAAAATCCCGAATTTGTCAGTATTATCTACTAATGCCTATAATGAAAAACCATTATGAGAAAAATTTACATACCTTTTATTATTGTATTTTTCAGTACCTGACTGTAATGAAAGAAACAGCCAATAATTTTCGTGTGTGGAAACTATCCTCAGTGCCTTTTGTTCCGCCTTTTGAAAAATGGATATTGCTATAGGCTTTAACTTTGTGATATTTATCACTCTTCTTAGAACATCTACATAATTTTGTGTAGCGTTCCTTCTTATAGTATATACAATTGGAAATGTTTGAAATTTGAAAGCAACAAAATTTATTCATATATTTATATACAAAATAGAATGCCCTTTACCATTAAATAAAATTATTAAATTATTAAATAATTATTAAATAATGATTCAATGAATTAATTATTTACTTATTCTATTATTGTATCTAGTTAAGACTGTCCATAATTGGCAATTTTTATTTTTTAATTGTGGTACCGTGGCGAAAGTTCCGTCAACGAAAATTATTAATTTTTCATTATTTAAATTTTGTTGAATAGATTCAATTAAAATTTTATCTATAAAAATAATGGCTTTTGTATTGTTACTTTTAAAATTCAACAGTAAAACTGTCTGGTATATCAATTGTTAATAATTGTTTCCAATT